TGTGTGCACAATTTTCATTTTCATTTTGTGAACGTTCTGTGCGCATTCGTTCTTGCATCTTGTGCGTTTCGTTTTTATTCGTAAGTGCATTTTGTGTTTGTGCATTTTCAGTTTCGTTTTCACTGTTCTCATGAAGCTCCCATGAACCGCTCAAATGAGACCCTCTTGACGCGCTCAAATGAGACTCACGCGAAGCTCTCAAATGAGGCCCTCATGACGCGCTCAAATGAGGCTCACGCGAAGCTCTCAAATGAGGCTCATATGAAGACCTTATGGAGCTCAAACGAAGCTCGCATGGGACTTAAATGTTTCATGCGAGGCTGATGCGAGCGACCATGAAAGTCCCATCAGTCTCGAATTCTCATGCGAGGCTTATTGGGGTTTCATGCGAGCGGGTGGTGTACCGAGGGGTGCTCGGTTGTTTGACTGGTCAAGGGGGGTGCCTAGATTTTTTCGCGCAGGTCAAAGACGCGAAAATCTGGACCCACGCGCGAGTCCAGGCACGCGCGTGAGGCCCCACAGGGCATGCGCGTGTGCCGCGCACTGTTGCGACAGTGCTGTACAGCACGATCGCAACAGGACAGGGCACGTTTCGGCCCTGTCCCGCGCACTGTACACGCACATGATCGCAATCATGCGCGTTGTACAGCACGACCGAGAAAAATCTCGGTCGTGGCGTGTGGCAGGTGGGGACGTGTGGGATTTCCGTTGAAAAACAGAATCCCCCCGTTGACTCGCGGAACAAGAAATTGCGCGCGAATGGTACGCCGCATAAAAGAATGATTTCGCCACAGGTACAATTCGGTTGTTTACGTCATTAAACGGTTAAAACCGTTTTACAGCTGTAAACTCGCATGAACTTCATGTGAGGCTTATGGGAGCCATATGGGAGCCACATGAAACCGCAAATGTTCATGTGAGGAGTCAGCAATGGAATTGCCTTGTGTTACAAGAGAAGGAAAAAAGGCAACATCCTAAGAAATTCTGCAACCGTTTCCTATTACAGCGTGGCAAAAATCAAGACCTTGTTCTGCAGCTACGTTTATGCTTACCTTTTGTGTGTGCGTAGGATTTTATATAAATGTGTGTCTGTAATTGTTCATCGATACAACAACTATTTTTCATTTCGCCTTTCAAGTTCAATTTCTACTACTACGTATTGACGAGAGTAGAATCGCTACCGTGGCCCTCGCGTTACAGGCATTGGGCCGCCCGTAAGCGTGCAACGAATGCATCTAACGAAGGCTGCCGGAAGAGCGAGTGTTACACCGCTCTCCTCCGGAGCACCAAGGTACTACACGCCATGGGCCGGCCCGAGCAAAGTTGCTGCGACGGCACCAGGCGCGCCAAGAGGAGAGGAATCCGAATCCCCTCCACCTGCCCCCGTCACGCAGTCCCCACTCGCCTCACCCTCGTACCAATTTCGGCAACTCCACGCTTCTCCTGTCCGGGGCAGGGCGGTCTCCCCTCTCGCCGATCCTTCGCGCGGGCATCAGGCAGGCAGTTATGCCAATCCCTTCCCTAACCTCCCCTTTTCCCGCCAGCGTGATAGTGTGAGGGCACACGGGACTGCTGCAGAAGACGTTGATCCCCTTGGCCAGAGGGGGGATTCTTCACACCCTTTTCCTCCGCTCATGGGTGCCCTAGGTGAAAGTGCGGAGCACGAGCAGTTTGTTACACGGGAGGAGTTCCAGGCGCTGCGGTCTGAGATGTACGCCATGTTTGCACAGCTCGGCCTGCGTCGTGGAGTACCTGCCAGCTATGCCGGCGGGTCAGCAGCCCTGCCTATGGCTGGTACCCCGCCGCCGATGAGCGCCGTGGACAAGGCACGAGTGCTAGTGTTGCAGGAGACAAACCCATTCCCGGTATGTGGCGGGCCACATGGGGCGGGTTGGGGTTGACGTGGCAACAAGGGCGGGGTTGGGGCTGACGTGGCGGTTTGGAATGGTACACGGGAGCGGCGCGTGACGAGGCGACGCGTGTCAGGTGGGTGGGGGGTGACGTGGCATGGGGTGGGAGGGTGTGACGTGGCACGTGGGGCTGGTTGTTGGTGGACGTGGCGGACAAGGAGGGTGTGACGTGGCACGTGGGGCTGGTTGGTGGACGTGGCGGATGCAGGAGGGTGTGACGTGGCGGAAGGTGAGGGTGGGGGATGACGTGACAGATGCAGGTGGGTGTGACGTGGCGGAAGGTGAGGGTTGGGGATGACGTGGCACCCTAAAAGGGTACACGTGAGCGGCGCATGACGAAGCGACGCGTCTCAGGTGGGTGGGGGGTGACGTGGCTCTTGGTGGGGGGTGTGACGTGGCAAGTAGGGCGGGTTGTTGGCGGATGCAAAAGGGTGTGACGTGCCAGAATGTGAGGGTTGGGGCTGACGTGGCGGTTTGGAATGGTACACGGGAGCGGCGCGTGACGAGGCGACGCGTGTCAGGTGGGTGGGGGGTGACGTGGCATGGGGTGGGAGGGTGTGACGTGGCACGTGGGGCTGGTTGTTGGTGGACGTGGCGGATGCAGGAGGGTGTGACGTGGCACGTGGGGCTGGTTGGTGGACGTGGCGGACAATGAGGGTGTGACGTGGCACGTGGGGCTGGTTGGTGGACGTGGCGGATGCAGGAGGGTGTGACGTGGCGGAAGGTGAGGGTTGGGGATGACGTGGCGGTTAGAAATGGTACACGTGACCACTGCGCATGACGAAGCGAGGCGTGTCAGGTGGGTGGGGGGTGACGTGGCTTGTGGTAGGGGGTGTGACGTGGCAGGTGGGCCGGGTTGTTGGTGGACGTGTCGGATGGCGCAGGGTGTGACGTGGCAAGTTCAAACAGTGTTGCTAGTCACCATCCCATGGTCACGCGGCCACCCTCATAACTGCTGGTTTCTCTCTCCCATGTCGTGTTGTATACCTTACACCCCTGCGCAGAACAAAGCCTACTTAGTGTGCTCTCAGCTCATGTTTCTGAACCCGCCGGAGAAAATACAGTACTACCCTGCACCGGAGGAAGTGTTCGAAGCGTTCTCTGTCCACTTGTCTGCAGAAGGGCTCGAGGCAATGAAGCTGCTGTGGTTGCACAATGACAAGTCAACCATGGGAGTCTTCAACCACCAGCTGTCCTCAACAAGGTCAACTATCAACTCCACCCTCAGGCCAGCAGCATACACCGGCATGTGCCTTGCCGATTACAGCCATCTCGTGGATAGACTGCCCACTGAGCTACACCCAACGACCTGGTTCGACGACGATCAACTCCTAGCCGAGTACAGAGATGGTATGTGCAGTGCAACTCGAAAACACAATATGCCCTACCATATGCCCCTTGGCAGCTACATATCACCGTGCGATGTGGCTCACCCTGACTCTCATCCCCCCATTTGATTTTTCTACAAAACCCTTTCCAACCCATACCCTCCCTGCCAATAAGCAGAACAGTGGGCCCTCAACTGGCACTTTGACAAGGCCACCGGGACACCCTTCAGCAACCCCTTGTTCGCTTATGCGTTCAAGCTCTCCTTCAAGAGGGGCGGGGCGGTGTTCACCAAGTTCAAGAGCCGCATGGTGGCATGGGGCCTGTTTTCGGTAAGGATGTAGATATGTGTTTGTACCCCCATGCCTCATCCCCTTAACCCCTTGCCTGTACTTCAGCTAAAACCCTGGTCGATTAGGCCTTTGCAGTTACGTAGATAGTGACGACTGCATCACCGCTTTCAGTTGCCTCATTTACCCGTAACCTACCCTCCTCATAAACCATCCACCCAACCCTACACCACATTGCAGATCGAATGGCCCCTTCTGCAGGATAAGCGTCGCAAGCGAATCAGTAGCCAGCCGGAGCAGAACAGGCCAGACTACCAGGAGTGGTGCGAAAAGGTCAAACAGATGATCCATTTTGTTGTCGTGGAGCGGAGGATCCCCCACGATCCGGCTATGGGTGCGTTCGTCTTTCCGAACAAGTTCCTCATCGACGACGGCGACCTTGGAGATGTCGTCCTTGCCCACCGGGCGCTTTCAAGGCCCGCCAGTGCGTAGGCTATTTGACCTGGTGCTAAGACTGCTTGTTGCTAGAATGCTGAATAATGGTTCTTGTAAACCGCAATAATAAATGCAATTTTGAAATCCTCAATATCCAAAATGAACAAAAACAGAATTTAGTTTTGAATAATTTAATCACGAATTTGCAACAAAACGGATTGCGCCCGAATGTCATCCGGAAAAGCTCGCGTGCCAAATTGGAACTTGAACCGAGCCAAACCTTGTCGCGAGATGTGTCTCGGAGCTCCTATCAAATGACTCCAACCGTCGGTCCAAATTGGCTCCGGATTTTTTTACGCGAAGACAATCGAAAACAAAATTCGTCCAAACTTGGCATAGGGTTTTTGTGATGTAAATGATTGTCAAACGATTTTTGGAGACCTGCATTAAAAAAAAAAGGTCAGATGATTTCCAGACGCACACATTTTTGTGATGGCCTTGGGTGCACTGAAGCACTCACACACACACATACACACACACACACACACACACACACACACATACACACACACACACACACACACACACACACACACACACACACACACACACACACACACACACACACACACACACACACACACACACACACACACACACACACACACACACACACACACACACACACACACACACACACACACATGCACGGACATACACATGCGCGCGTGCGTGTGCGTGCACCCTCCCACACTCACACAACTGCACGCTCACACTGGCTGGGGTCAAGGGTAGCCGCGTGCGCCATGGGGAGGAAGCCACGGCTGCAGCCGCTGCTGCGCCAGAAGCAGCCCTTCGTGAAGCCGCCCTCGTCGCTCCCCACCATCGCCATCACCGCCACCACGCCCATCACAGCCACTCGTCCAGCCAGGCCCACGCCACCGCTCCTTGCCATCACCGCAACTCCTCCCGCAGCTTTCAACGGCCTCCGCGCCCTCCCCGATGCACAAATGGCGGGGCCACTCGCACAGGCGCTCGCTCAGGTGGCGGCAGCACTGACGCCGCCGTGGGTGGTCGATGCGGTGGGGCCTTCGCTGGGAGAGCCTGCCAAAGCGAGAGGCAAGGAGAAAGGTGAGAAGAAGGGAGTCATTCAGGAGCGCCGCGCCTGATCCCTGACTGATTGGGCCTGCCGCGCACCTGGCGCTGCCAACTCAGCAGGGCTCTGGGACGATGGGAAGTGCCTCGTGTTGCTCCGCATGGCATTACTACCTCCTGGTGTGGGAAGGGGAAGGGGGAGCTCATGCGGCTTGGTCCCCCGGTTCTGCACATTATGAGCTCCGGAGCACGGGGCCATGAAAACGGTCGAAAGGTGGCCTGGAGGAGCGCCGCTTAACAGCGGAGCTATTAGACACACACAGTTGGACTGTGATGCCCAACACACACAGTGCGGAACCAAAATGCCCGCTCACGCCGCGTCTAGGTTGTTCCTTAATGACCAGCTTGTTCTTTCCATTCAATCTTATGATTCCGCCAAGGTGGAGAACGAGAGAGTTCAACCTACGGATAAAACGAGTAGTAGTAGGACCTGCTTACCTGTAATAAGACTCCGAGTCGGAGTCCCTGGCGGCGCTTTCTGCATCACAAGGAGAAGGCTCCTACCGCTTGCTGTGCCGCCTAATGGTAGTCCAACAGTTGGATGGGCTCTTTTATCGCGAGGTCCAAAAGCCCCCATCACACCTGACGCGCTGCTCTCGCATAAAGGTTGCCGCTATGCCAGGAAAACTCACGAACTGCTAGGTGGGTGTGCACGGGAGCCTCGTAGGCATGGGAATGGGCAAATCTAACCCTCGGCTCTGACAGCCTGGCCCGGGACGCCCAGTTTGCCACCGAACCTACTGTTGACCCTTTTTCTGAGTGAGGGTGCCAGCCTGGCCGGCCGGAATAGGTCGATTAGTTTTGCCCGCCCTTACAAACCAGCAGGTCCGGAAAAATGTTACAGTGATGTCCAGATCCTTCACTCGAAGTAATAAGCCAAACATTATAAAAACTTAGATACACAAGCAACATTTCCATTATTTAAGCCATTGAAATTAGAATCGATCTCTACACTACCTATCGCGTAATCTAGCAGCTTGGTAATCCTAAGCTGAGATATTACACCTTTCAGGGCAATCCTAAATTGTGTTATTATATTGTTCTGTTATTAAAAAACCACTCACATTTTTTTTTTACAAAGTGTCACAGCAAGGACAGCAGAAAGATTGGATTAGCAAAGGGTTGGGACACAAGAACAAAACCGAACAATGTCATACCCCCTAAATTGTACCTCGCTACAGCCAACAATACAAATATATTTAGTTTGACACACTCCTATAGGCTAAGTGATGAACAGCGAGAGAGAACAGGAAACGCAGATGGTCATAAGACCTGTCAAGAGAAACAACAACACAAAGCTCAGGGTGGATCAAGAATTCACCACATAGTCTGAGCACAAGCAAGCAGCTACCAGGCATGTTCGAAAGTTCGTAAGTATACAGAAATTCAAGGACAAACAGAGCAACGAACAAGAGACAATACTATAGCAACTGAGGGCCTACCTCAACAAGGCCAAACTACAGACAGAACTTGTGGTGGTTACCAGACGGAAGGGCCTTGGTGAATATGTCTGCAGTGTTGGTCACTGAGGCCACAATGTCGAAGCGTGCTTGGCCGCGTCGCTGCAACTCTCGCAGGACAAAGTACCTGACGTCGATATGCTTCACTCTGCCCTCCAGTCGAGGCTCTTGACACAGGAGGATCATGGCCTTGTTGTCAGCGAACAAGATCAGTGCAGAGCTCGGCCGCTCATCAAGGTCGATGAGCAAGAAGGTCAACCAGCAAAGCTCCTATGCAGCAATGGCACCGGCGCGCGTAGATCTTTGCCTCTGCGCTAGACTGTATCACAGACGACGGCCGAGTAGGCATCCACGACACAGCTCCAGCGCTCAAGCCGAAGCAGTACCCCTGAGTAGACCTTTGTGTCAGCACATCGTCGGCGTAGGAAGATTCGCAGTGACTGGTCAGCACGACTGGCTATGTCCCTCCAAGCACAAGCCCCATGCATGATATAGTCGCCAGGTACTTTACCATCCTCACAGTAGACGTCCAATGAACAGGATGATGTTTCCCAATCGGAACAAAGAGAAAAGGGACACTGAGGGGAAAGGCGATGTCCGGACAAGTACAATTCATCATGTACACGAGGCAACCCACAAGCTATGCGTAGGGACCACTGGACTCAAGGGCTCGTTGGAAAAAATGCCGGTGAGTCTGTGGTCAACGACAAGAGGACTGGGATATGTGGTGGAGAACTGAAACCTGAACCGTTGAAGGATCTGCTGCACCATGTGTGACAGAGTTGGTGTGATGGTGCAAGCGACTCTGTCCCTAATGATCTACAAACCAAGGTAGCGGCGCAGTTCACCAAGGTCAATGCACGTGTGTCTCTTAAGGTGGATTTTGCCTCAGTTAGAGCGTCCCTGTCTGGAGTAGCAAAGATCAGGTCATCGACGTAGACAAGAACAAAGAACATAATGGAACCAATGCGGACAAACAGCGACGGGTCGACGGACGAAGGACAGAACCCGAGCGTATCCTGCCACTCACGGGGCACCTGGCGGTGACCGTAGACTGTCGCCTCAGGCTCCACTGGGTCCCAGGCGGGAAGTGAAGCCAAAGAAAGGGAGTGGATAAGTTGAGGGAGTGCAACTCGTAGTCTCGCTGTGCTGCAACGTAAAGTAAAACCTGAAGAGTAGTCATCTTCAGGGTTAGGGCGAAGGTCTCGAAGAAGTCAACTCCCGCACGCTGACTGAAGCCATTAACCACGTAGCGCGCCTTGAAGACATGCGGCGATGTTGGCGGCCGCTTCATCTTGAAGATCGACATGCCATCGACTAGGTTTGCCCCACGAGTGGGAACTGCGTCGACGTAGGTGCCTGTGGATCTCCAAGATCCCATCTCTGAGTCCACGGCCACTATCCACTGAGAGGCCCACTAACCTGGCACTACCCCATGGTAGGTGCGAGGAGTCGGTATATCAAGGGCGTCGGGGTCTCCCTAAAGGGCTAGCCACATGGCACAGAGATGGGGAGAAGCGGCTGCCAAAAACTCCAGCTCAAACTGTCTGTCCTCTAGAACGTCACAACCAAGGACAAACTCACCCCCGACAGACAGAGGAGAGGCAGCCACCACGCGGATAACGTAGTCAAAGTGACGAGTAGCACCGACAGCGGCAACAATAGCCAAAACAGACGACGAAGAGGCACGAGGGCCCGTCAGAAGAGAAGCAAGAACACGCGAGACAAGAGGACGAGCAGTGTGGCAATATTCAGCAATATGGTGAGAGGAGGCAGTAAGTGATGACTTCGGAGGTGACGGGAGAACAAACACAGGCGGAGAACGACTGTGGGGAAGAGGCCGGTACCTGACATGCTACCAAGGTGAGAGGGTATTGTGGGACACAACTGACAGGGCAGGACCAGGGGGGGTCGGGTGTTCCGGAGGAGCGGGAGTAGGAGGAGGAGCGGGGGCGAGGAAAAAGGGAGGGGAGAGAACCAGGAGATGTTGACAGGGGTAGCGAGTGTAGTTGGACACGGACTCGTCAAAGGTGATGTCACGAGTGTCGAGAAAACGTTGGAGCGGCGGGTGGTAAAACGTGAAGTCAGGGGCATCCACTAGGAAACCAAGGAAGACACAGGGAATGGCGCGAGCCAAGAGCTTGTCCGAAGAGGTGTCTTGGACAAGTGCAAGGCAACCCCAGACACGAAACTACGACGCAACACCAGTGGAACTAGTCCAAAGACTGGTCGATGAAGCCTCTGGTCGGAAGATACGAGGCCAGAGGTTCAGCTGGTGGGCGGCGTAGGGAACCGCGTAGGGCCACAGAAAATGGGGCGCACGATCATGGATCATGGATGTGCAGGCAATCTCCATGACCACCACTAGGAAGTGGCTCTCCCTCTCAGGCCCAGAACGAGGGGCCCCAGACGTCCAAGTGGAGAGTCTGGAAGGGCGCGATGGCCAGACAAAGGGAGGAGGAGTGAGGAGTGGCGCACAGCCTACCTGCGACACAAGGAATGCATGGAGGCGCAGACAAAGGAGGGAGAGACTCAAAGACGCGCGGGAGACCAGAGACAGGACGCTGACTAGACATGCTACATAGGCGTAAGAGGGACGGGTGACCAAGACGGTGGTGCCACAGGACTGTCAGGTGGGTGAGTGACCGACAGGAGCACGACGCGGCAACCTGACCAGACGCAGCTACCTGACCAGACGGGGCTACCTGTGGGAGCTCAGTGTGCAGTGTGAAGAGACTGGAGTGGAGCTCCCAGCGAAACATGGCCAGGGGAGAGTATGTGTCACCGTCCACGCAGGTCCTAACACGCTAAGACAGAGGAAACCAAACACCAACGTGGCCGTCCTAAAGGTGTCCAACACCTACCAAGTTCCTGGAGAACGAGGGGATGTGAAGACCAGTGGGTACGCCAAAGAGGACAGCCAGGCATAGGAGGGTGGTAGAGATGCGTGCAACTGCTGGTTTTGAAGTAGGATCAGCTTGTGCAACCGGAACCGGAGAAAAACACGGCATGAGAGGCAGAGTCCAGAGAAGCATTGTGAAGAAGCACTGAGATGCGCCAGAGTCCAGCGTGAAAAAAGCGCCAGCACCTAGACTAGCAACAGGCAAGGATCCTAAGATAAAAACACGCGAGAAAACAGATCCAGCTGCAATATATTCAACATCGGCATACATCACAGAATCAGATCCCATGGCATCAACTAACTCTACCGCAGACATGTACCACAACACAAGACCACGAGAGCGAGTAAGTGGGGCCTAGTCCGGAGAGGGGCCAAAGCCATTCTATGCACAAACACGGTCCGTGAGCTGCGCGAAGTACTGACCCAGAGTGTGAAAATTACTTACGGGCAGGGGAGTGAAGTGACACCTCGCGACCCCGAGCTGGGCGGACCACCACCACGACCAGTGCTCCCTGGTCCACCAGGTGCCCACTGCTAAGGCGCTCTTGCACCTACCGCTAAACCTGCTGCTGCAGTTGTCCCTGCTGTGGCTACTGCTGCTCTTGGGACTGTTGCCGCTGCTGTGCCGAGTACCAAGCAGCAGCACCGGCACCCCCTCCAGACGAGCCTGCAAGCCCAGTACCACCTCCAGTGCCGCCTTCGCCAGACGCACTAGTGTCACCAGTACCTCCACCTCCCCCGCCGCCACCACCAGCGCCACCAACCTTCCCCCTTTTTTTTACCTCCCTTGCCCCTGGGCCGCCCACATGTGGTGGACACGGCTGCGGTCTCGTCAGA